TGTGAAACGTAACGTTTCAAACGTTAATACTTTTGATGAACACTATCGTAACGAAAGCTAAAATCTAGAAAAATCAAAACGTTGACATCTCTACTCCATGGGCTATATTATACGTATATATGAATTATTTCATAACTTTGACACAGTTTTATATCAGTTTCTTGAGACATGTAATATCAGATAGAACTAACATTCATCGCCATCAAATCCTTCAGCCTATACCCCCCTTTCATTTCTCTCTTTCTTTCCATTAGTCCCTTTAAGACGAATTGATAGACATACCTTTAACCACAATTACAATGATAGTTTAGTTTTCATAAAATCTTATTTTTCATTGAAGGCATCTGCTGCTCCAACTGCAACTGCTGTTCTTCTTATAGGAATATACGGTAAAGTTAAAAAAATTTACAGTGTTCAGCGTTTATATCAATATGATGAAGACGACTTTTTAGTTCAAGTTTTGATTGTTAAGAAGCCTTTTTCGAACTACAAGTTTACAAGTAAACAAAATGAAGCTGTTATTTGATAGCTTTACTTCCTTTGCATGATTATTGATTATGTGTTGTTTAAAGCTGTTAAAAATCAAAATTGTAAGTCGTCTTTATTGTATTGAAATATTCGATGACGCTGTATGTAAAACTCTCATACAACGCAAGTGATAAGTAGATGTTATATATTCTCTTTGCCTTTTTCAAAATACTCATAAAACGCCAATTTTTTAAATGAGGAACTACTGTAACTTAACAGTGAGTTTTATGGTATTCTGGCTCATAGGAACATGTTTTAGTGGTTTAGTTAAATTCGAAAATTAGCAAATTGTGTGCGTTTTTATAACTATTAATTACTACTTAACCGGGAGATTAAGGGAGGATAATTAAATTGAGGGGAAAACCACTTAGCCGAGGGCCTCCAAGGCTAAGTGGTTTTCCCCTCAATTTAATTATCCTCATGAAAACTCCCGGTTAAGTAGTAATTTATCGTTTAATCTCCTGTTCAACGAAATAACCAACCGTGGGGGATAAAATAATAATGAAATCAATAAAACTATCAATTATGATTTTAATTCTTTTATTTTTTACTAATGCATATGGAAGAATATTTAATAAGCAAATTTAATGATTTCTAAAAATAGTAATTGGGTTTCTAAATTTCTCAATATTTTTGTGAAAACTTCGCAACATTTTTGTGAAAACTTCACAAAATTCGTATAGAAATTCAGAAACTTCTCATTCAAGAAAGAGCTTCCGTACCATTAACATGTCATCCATCATTTTTCTCAAATCTGCTCTTGAGCTTTTAAAGCCGGATTATAGAAAAAAGGTAAGAACTAAATTGAAAAAGAATTGTCTTAAAATTGATATAAATCAAATTGGTGAGCTCCTTGTGTCAATAAACTCTTTTTTAGTGCCAGAAAACCTGGATGGACTTCATAGAACATACTGGATGAAACAGCGCTCAGACAAGAAGGAAACCAAGTTCCTAGTTCCTAACGATGGGCCAGTAAATTTTGCAGCTGTTATTGATGATTATCTGAACGTGATTAAAAGTAGCCTTGGTCATTTCACGGGTCGAGGATTTTTTAAGGGTACTCCTGCTGCATATGCTGACCAGCCTATGAGGAAAAATCTTGTAAGTAAAGTGCCATGTGAAATGGCAACAGTTCTTGGTCTAGATAATCCAGTATCTTTTACATTTCATTCTCTACGTCGCTCGTCCGCCACAGCAGCAGCTGACAACGGAGCATCCGTTCAACAGCTTATGGAATTTTATGGATGGTCTAATCCGAGCATGCCTCAAGAATATGTATCATCAAGCAAAGCTTCTGTAAAATCCATGGCTGATAAACTTCAAGGACCTTCTAATCAAGTAGAAAAAACAGAGGTTATGCGAAGTCAGAATAGAGAATATTGAAAAGTGTTCCTTAGCTTCACCTCCTCGAACATTTTCATGGGAACAACTTTACAATGTAATTATGTAAACCCGAAAAGAATGATGTAGTATAATATATTTGATGACAGCTCAGTAAAGCTGTATGTACATGTTTTGATCTTTCCTAGATCAAATATTAAACTAGGTGTAGTTTACTATTTTTATTCAAAATTGATTGAGAGAGCGATAAATGTAAAAATAAAATTAAATTAGAGAACTATTTATTTGATAAATCTGTATGGATCACAGGGAGGATAAGTAATTATCCTCCCTGTAAAGAGGGAGGATAAGTAATTATCCTCCCTGTAAATAGGGAGGATAAGTAATTATCCTCCCTGGAAATAAGAAAGGAGGGAATTAAAGGTTGGTTATTTCGTTGAACAGGAGATTAAATAAATAACAAACCCTTTTTAGTAAATAAAACAAAAGCAAATGATTCAAACAATTCTTCAGTATTACCAGTCCATTACAATTGTACCATGAAAAGTGTTGTCTCATCAAACATGAATTAAATATGATGGTTTATATATATGCCTAATAGGTCAACACTTTGCTAAATACTTTTTTATATATTTAGCTATTTTTTGTTTGACTTTGTTTTGTATTTAGTTGACGTCAAAATATCTGAACTGATCAGAACAGAACTATTTTTGGTAACTCATATCACCATTTTGAAATGTAGGCATAAATAAAGGCCCAGAAAACCTTCAACAGCGTAAGAAGGTTTAGATGAAAAGAGAAATAAAAAATGGTTATTTAGGATTTATTAAACAGTAATTGTGTTTCCTTCCTTGTTAACATAGGTATATTTAGTTTTAACAACAGGACTAATCATCTTTTCCCATTTTGTCATTGATTTCCCATCAAAAATCAGATCATCTGCAGAACCAACTAAAATCTTAGGTTCCTGCTCAAATGCTCTCAGTTCAACCTCTTCTCCACTAAGAGCTCTTCTATGTTCATCAGCAGAGACGGGGTAGTTATTAATCATAACAGGTCCAGATTCTTCTCTCAAGATCTTAAACTCATTGGCATCCAATCGTTTGCCTGCCCAGGAGCAAGGTTGTATTGAGGGAATCCAATCAGGGTTTAATACATCAAAGGAGGCATCACTGTAACCTATATATTACAAGATATAAACAATAGAACGAAATTAATATCCCTTAGGATGTGCGTACGATCATAACTTAGAAACCCCTTAAATTTTGCGCGGTAGCACTGTAGAAATGTCCTTGCATGAAAACTAAAGTAAATAAATTTTATTTTTATTTTATTTTTATTTTAATCTAACATCTTTTATAGAAAAAACATGATTTGAATTTCTGATACGTTTATAGATGAAATTGCTGTGCTCATTCTTTTGCTTACGATCAAGAATAGAGAAACTACGAGGTCACAATGTCAAAGTCACTTTTAGATAAAAATTTAAGTTTCTTGGAAAAGCTAAATTATATTTAAAAAATATCTATATTTTCATAGGATCGATACACATTATATGATAAATTATATAAATTATATAAATAAGTATTTTTTGTTATACAATGTAATTATACTTAAATGGAATACATGCGTAATTTCAAGTGACCCTCCATTTATAGAGTGGCATGTCCGATATACCTTTAAAACCTTCATTTCTCCCTCGTTTCTGAAGCAAGAAATGCATGAGTCACTTGTGTAGAGAAACCGCAAATAAAAATAATCAGTTTTCAAAATGGGAAACATGGATATTTAATAAACACTTCATCAGACAAAGCTTTTAAATGTATTGTTATGAATTAGAATTGAAATTATGTCTAAGTCTGCAGTCACTGTAAAACTCTCAACTGATTCTATATTAATTAAACTATTTTGTAGCCACCCCCCTGGGTGCCCCCCCTTGTACGCCCCTGATCATCTTTGTATGGAGGAAGGTCACTTGAAATTACTCTTGCAGTTTCTCTAACTTGTCCTATTTGCAACGATATTTTCCTGATATGGTCTAACATCAAGAAATAAAAATGTTTTCTTTCAATTAAAAAATGAGGACTATTTAAATAACTAAAGTTTTACCTCCTGAAAGAACACATGCTGGAACCCCCTCCTCACCTGAACAAAAATAAACTTAAAAACATGTTGTACAGTGAGACCCAAAAAAATGTGAAATAGAAAGACGACATTATTTGATGAGGATTTGAGGTTTATGTTAGTTTTACTAGTAGTTTGAAAATCAATTTATTAGGTGAAATGAGTCTGTAAACAGAACACAATTAATGTATTTCATGTTCATTGAACTATTTAAAATTGGAATTTAAGTCTAACAGTTTAATGTATACATGTTTTTGAACAGATTAACTTGATGCACACACAACTATTTCTATGCGAAGTTTAAGTAAGTTTGGTGAAGATACTAGATACATATAGGATTTTCAAGGCTAATTTAGATTGTGAAACGTCGCAGTAAAATATCAAATTTGTCTTCCAAGGTAAAGTTTTTTCATCTTTCTATTATAAAAAAAAAACATTTTAAGTTCTTGTTATAATTCAAGCACTGGTACATGTTTTATACATACAGAGCTACCCACAAAGGATGAGACTTCAGAGACGACTGTACAGAATTGATTAGTTGCCATATTAATGAATAGACCGTCAAAAGACGACATTCAAGGCAAAGACTTAATTTAACCTTGTAAATGTCATATTTTATGAGCTTTAGGTCGTCTTAACAGTCTCAATCTTTGTGGCCTCACTAGTCAAATAGACATAAAGTGTATTTATTAAACGCTCGAAAAATAAGCATTGAAAATATTATCTTGAGCGTAAAACAATAAAAATTATCAAAAATTATGCTTTTTCTTTTACGTTTTGTCATTTTTGAGTAAAATACATAAGCTAGACTATACTGCAATAGTGCAAACATACCAACCTTCCTGCAGAATCTGACCCTATGTTTTATTTCTTCAGTTTAGGCATTTCAATGGTGTTTTTATGAGCAATTGACAAAAAACAGGATAACAGAATTACTAAGATACTCAATTATCTTTTTAAACCGTACACCAAATAATTCCCGGGAGAACCCTGAAAGGTTATATTTTATGTACGATAAATTTATCTTAGAAACCTACATTTGACTAGTGTGGGTAACCCTGTAAGATTCTAACAACACTTTGTGAGATGCCATCAAAGGTTTTGAGTATTAATATTTCACCGATACAAACTGGTTTGGTCTCCTCTGTTTGGCTAGATATTTAACGCAAAATATTTTGCCTAATTTCTATCATTTTTCAAAAGCAAGGAGAACAAATCATGGTCTAATAATTTTCCTAGAAATTGTTTTAAAACTTTTTATTTACTTGGAAACTCTGCCAATGCATAATCATTCCCATTTACAGGAGTTGGTTTGTTTTCAGGTTGAGACACTGGAGACAATGTTGTCAGAGAACTATCTAAATAAAGTGGTAGGCGTTGATATCAGTATTATGAAGACGACTTTTCTATCTAAGTGTTGATGATTACTATCTTTTTTTTCAAATTACAAGTTTACAAGTAAACAAAGAGAAACTGTTAATTGGCAGCTTCTTTTTGCATTATGCTTTGAAATCTTGGTAAAAATCAAAACTCTGAAAAAGAAGTCGTCTTATTTGTATTGATACTTTCGACGACGACTGTAGTATAATGTTGCAAGGGTGTTAACAGAGGACAGAACTTTTGTAACTTTTACTAATCCTCCAGGTTTGATGTCTATATCCACTTTGGCAACTTTTAATTTTGTGAAATAGGTGTCTAATCATTCAATTTTAGACTGCTGGATTCTAACCATTAGATATCCAAGAAGATTTGGCATAATTCTGTTGGATTCAAAAGTTAACTATTTGATCCAAGGATTAAAATAATAAAGATGAGCATTGTTTTGATTAACAATCACATTTTGTCATTAACGATCGATTTAAAATTGTTAACGATCGTTCAAATCATATTTAAGCCCGGCCGTGAACGAACGATACCTGTTTTAAAAAATGATGTAACTTATTTTATATAGAAAGAGCTTAGCTTACATAATGAAAGTTTATTTTTACACTTTAAATTACGAAATAATAAAGATCGCTTAATTTTGCTTTTTTGCTTTGCGATTTTTTTATTTCGTATTTTAGAGTTTAGTCCTTAACCCTTGTATTGACTTTAATTCTCACCTGGAGCATCTACGGTTTCAATTAGATACATCTTTGAGCTAACATTCTTTTCAATAGATTAGTTTAAATTATTTCTTTTCTCTTGGATATGTTGGATATATAATTGAAGTAATTTTTATGTAAAATGGAAATCTTACTTTTTTAATCATTACTCCTCTTATTGAGAAGCTACTAGGAAGTAACCAAATAGTTCAGCCTTTTTTATACTTGTGTATAAAATAATAAAATTAGTGAAGCTACGAGAAAAAAAGTTGTACTAGTAATGTCACATCAATTTATTTCTAGTGCATTTTGGATACTTTGCCACTATGAAAAAAATACAGATTTATGTATGCTTATTTTTAGTTGAGCCCATCATCCATCATGAAAACATAAAAATTGTAAATTTAGTACTTCAAGTATTTTAAGATTATCAATTAGCAATAATAAATAGTTTATGATGTTGTTACAAAGCAAATAGTTTAACAAGTTTAACAAGTCTGTTAACACCTCACAATTTCTGTGTCTTGTTTATTGTTTATTGGTCTTAATACATCATAATGTCGTCTTCATATTCCAGAGGTTTCTGGTTCTAACTGTATGTAAAAATAAAACAAATAATGTAAAAATCTATTCCTGAAATGTAAAGGTGAAGCACAAGCCAAAGATGAATAAATTTAGCATGATGAATTAAGAGATTAGGAATCAGAATCTACTTCAAACTGATTATGCTAAATATTGCTTCTCGTAAATTAATAGTTTGTTTTGGTTAATTAAACAATTTTTGATAGTTTTAATATCAACAAACTTAAATTTGTAAACAGTGCAATTAAAAACATCTTGATATCTAATCAGCATTTGTTCATTATTTTGGCTGCTGGCAAAACAAATAAGTTTTATTTTTAACTAGCTGGAAACCCAGCGTTGCCCAAGTTACTCATTGTTACTCCCGTCGTTTACCCGCACTTGGTCGATTTACTCTTAAAGCCAAACTAAAAACATTTCTGGGGTTCTCCCGAGTTCCCCAATCAAAATTTGAGGCAAATCGGTCAAGGGGCTTATGAGTTATGATCGAACAAAAAAGCAAACAAACAAACAGACAAACAGAGATTACATTGTATAGATGTGCTGAATCAACAAAATAAAACAATATATTTTTTTAGAAAAATATTCCAAAGCAATTCGTTTGAAAGTTTAACCCTACCACGATTTGGGGAGAGGTGATCCCCCCCTTGTTGTTTCTTCTGAATAACTTAAAAACGGCTTACATTAGAACACTTAAACTTCTTCACCTTTTCAACATAATAGTTTTAAACAAATTTGGCTAAATAAAATATCTTTTTTAGCCATAAGGTAGAGTTGAGGACGGTAAAACGGCGGTTCGGTGATTCAAAAAATTAGAAATGGTAAATTAGGCTACAGGGATTAGACTTATATATTTGAAAACCCCTTGAAAAATGGATATAATAAAATGTGTCATATGTTAATACTTGTTAAAAGTAAAAATAACTTTGTTTAAAAAATTTTCGACATACTTTTTGAACTTTTTTAAAATCCTCCCTTACACCGTGACCATTAAAGTTAGAGATCAAATTTTTTTTGAGGAGGACTTAAAAAGTTGGATTAGGGACAGTGCAAAATCATAGGAGGGGGGGGGGTGGAAAATCCCCCCCCCCCTCCCTCTATATTAGACAAAAATAACCTAATCGGGAAAGGATTAAATGAGTTCATTTTTTATTAAATAATACATAACAAATATCTAACTTTTGAATTACATTTTCAACAGAGTTTCGAATTTTCCATCTGGACTGGTACAAATCTTGAGTTTAAACGGTTTCAGTGTTTGAATAATCCAGTTTTTATTTCTAATTGCATCATATATTCCGTTGTAGTCTTTTTCATCCCGGAGACAAACACAGCCACAGTCAGGAGGAAAACTTCCTAATTATTCGGACTGAAGAATATTGAGTGGATTGAAAGGGACTGTTAGCGTTATTTTCAAGTGATCTTCTTTGCAAAGATGACAATGTCCGATTATCAATGTTTATATTTTTCAAAATTGATTATTTTTAATTGTGGGTTCTCTACAAAAGTGCCTCACGCCTTCTACTGAAAGAAAGCATATACTGGGTGTCCCAATAAACATGGGAATTCAGTGAAGAATTCGATATCGTCTTTTCAAATAATTCGTTGATTTAGTATAGTGATATCTACTGAGAAAGCTGTAATCTGTTAGAGTTTCGTCTGCTATGTGTACATTTTGTTTGTTTATGTTTTGACTGCATACGGTTGTACTTAGTAAAACAAGAAAATTGCAGTATACAAACAGAGTAAACTTGTCCGTCTTCACTGTTCATCTTGCGGAGACATTATAGACACATCTTTACAGTCTTTTACCCTTTTCATAAAATAAATTCTAGCAGACATATTAATATTATGGCTTTTGAAATTAGGTATTACAGTGCTAATTCATAACAAAGACGATATCCAATTCGTCACTGAATTCCCATGTTTTTTGGGACACCCTGTAACATCTATAAGAGACACTTTTAAACCTAGAAAAAGAGAGAGAGTTATTGAGGGTACTGTTGTGAATCGGGTATTGAGGGTACTGTTGTGAATCGGGTATTGAGGGTACTGTTGTGAATCTGGTATTGAGGGTACTGTTGTGAATCGGGTATTGAGGGTACTGTTGTGAATCGGGTATTGAGGGTACTGTTGTGAATCGGGTATTGAGGGTACTGTTGTGAATCAGGTATTGAGGGTACTGTTGTGAATCGGGTATTTTGATTTTTGCCTGAAGAGTCCCTTCATGTGTTTTCAAAAATGTATCTCAACAAATAAATTATTATTCAAAAATTATTTTAGTCCTTTCCTATGTAGTTTGATTTTGGTATAGAGAAGGTTATTCCACCAAGATGAGTTGTACCAGTCGAATCTAAATGTTAAAGAATTTTATAGAGTCATATTTTATTACAGTGCTCGGCGTTCATATCAATACAACAAAGATGACTTTTTATTCAGTTTTGATTTCTAACAAACTTATTCAGATTCAAAATTTGCAAGTATTGCAACATTTATCCATTCTGTTTAAAAGCTGGAAAGAACTCAAAATTGAAAAAAAGTCGTCTTCATACTACATGACGTCTGTAAATCATTAGCTTGGGAACCCAGCATTGCCTGGAAACTAAACCTTCTTTATAAAAGATTACTGTATATAGTTAGATTTTGAATTAAGCAATGAAATGGCGATTTTTGAATTAAGCAATGAAATGGCTAAATCAATATATTGATAAAACAGCTTGGAGAGTTTCAATCAAAAATACAAAACAAAATTTAAATTAAACTTTTTTACAACTAATCCCAATTAGCGTTTCCAGCGAACGAAACGTTTTGCGAAAAAATGCGAAAAATTTTGTTCGCATTTCGGAAACTTTTTTGCAAAATTTCGCATTTTTTCGCGAAAACAAATAAAGCGAAATTTCGCGAAATTTTTTTCTTGCGAAAATGCGAAATGCGAAAACAATGATTTTTATAGCTGCAGCAATTAATTGCTCTTAAGAACTTGTCGAGTTCTCTGCTTTGATAGCTCAATATTTGAAGTTTTAGTATGCCATATAAATAATTTCTCTAACTTTACTTTAATAAATGTTTAATGAAGTGAATTTGATTTCACTAGCTATCTCTTTAAGTTTCTATCTGTCCGTCCACAATACATGCGTAAGTTAATCATAAGTTAATCCATCAATTGGGCTCGCGGATAAATCACTCTTTGAAAATGAGTCTTTCTTGTATTCTCAAAATATTGTCTTTTTTGATGAACTTTTTTGCTAAAACTTTGCATTTGTTTTAAAGAATTCTTTATTTTTCGCAAAAATTTCTTTTTTTTGCATAATTTCCTTTGTTGGCGAAATTTTCGCATTTTTTTTACCGTGAAATTTTAGCATTATTTTTTCGTGAAATCTTTGCATTTTTTCGCATTTTTTGTGAGCGAACTAAATACGAAAATTAAGCGAAATGGTCGCGAAAAAATATTTTTCGTGAAGTGATATTTCCTTTTCGCTGGAAACCTTAATTCCACTGCTTTATCTAGTTAGGATAATGGTTTGATCAAAACTGCCCCCAGAGCTACAAGGTGTCTCATGAGACAGTAGGAAGACGACTTGAAGATCATCTTTGATCTTTTAAATTAATTAAAGATGGAGGATTCTTAAAGCAATAATTACACAATTCACCTGGTCCTGACATTTCCTTTTGTGCTTTTAAACTTACCGGAGATAATAAGAAATTCGTTCAGATTTCAACTTATTAAATAAAACCAAATTTGTAGAAATCTGAACAAAGTTCTTTATATCTTTAGCGAAATTGAAAGCAAAAAAAACGGCAGATCACATCTTGGAACTGCCAGGGCTAAAAGTATAGGTTTGTGATTTTTGACTCTAAAATTTTACTTCTAAAATTAGGTTTCCAAATAAATGCCGCAAATTGTTTCAAAGAGCAAAGACAACCTTCCAATCGTGTTTCTACTGCCATGTTTCGTAGGACACCCTGTAAATTTCGTCGGCTTTTATGTCATTACAATGAGCTTTCATTGCAGCAGAGAAAAATATACATGTAAACAAAGAGGAATTCTCATAGATAAATAAATAAACATAGATAGCTTATGTACGCAAAATCACCAAGAATTGACAGTACGCGAACTCATACTTCTGGGGGTCAAAGTGTACTTCAATGATAAGTTGGGTGGTTTGGTGTTTTAATGGATTTCATAATTATTAAACCACTCAGGAGTGAATTTTATTTTGAGAAGATCAAATTATTTCACTGAGCAATAAATCAAATTGACGAGAACTGAAGAAGGACATGAGACGGACTAATCTAACTTAAATTTCTTTTTACAGAACTCATGTACACCACAAGTACTCAATGAAATAAGAACAGCTAATGTTCACAACCGACCTAGTTAATCTATAAAATAGGAATATATTTAAAACATCTCTGTACATTTATATCTTTCAAGATGAAAAATGTCGTCTTATGCGCAATCTATCTTTATCTATGAGAATTCTACACTACTGCAGTTTTTGAAAGGAATTGAGTCGTTGCCATCAACTCTGATTTTCTTATCCCTTTATCTTTACATAAAAGTTAACAACCTGCAATCTCGTAGACCTTAGATATGAATTTTGTTAGATCAGATATTCTAAGTTTGAAATAAGAAAGGTCATCACCAGATAAAGGGATTAAAAAAACTGATTTTGTATCAAGTAAAGACTCAATTTCTTTAGTTGTAAAATATCATTTTCTTTCAATTAATTAAAATGAATTCCAACCATGAAAAATCAAGGGAGCTCCTTCATCCCCATAGCAGGGCCCTCCTGTTGTCAACTCAGAAGACCACTTTAACATTACACATATATTAAACCTTATTAAAGGGAATGTTCTTGTAATTTCAAGTGATCTACAGGCACAGCAATCATCAAATTACAAGACAAATTAAGTTTGAATTTAAATCTTCAAATTTATATTTTTCTAAAGATTTATCATTTTCTTTTTTACAAGTAAATACCCACTCTAGGAATTGAGTCTGTGTCACAAACTCAAATATCTTTGCAATCTTATGGTGTAAACCTTTCATCAAACAGAATTCAAAGTTTGAAATATTTAAGGTCTACGACATTGGGTTTCAAAGATATGGATTATAGATATTCAGACAGGGTTTGTGGCAAAGGCTCAATTCCTTTAGTTTGAAAGGAATTCATCAGATTTAGAACTTTCTAAAAAATTGCAGCCTGATGGTGTAAACCTTTGTTATTACAAACTTAGCTTCATTGATCAAACAGAATTCATAGTTTGAAATATCCAAGGCTGACGATATCGGATCGCAAATACTTAAAGATTAGAACATCAGCGAATGTCGCTAAGACTCAATTTTTTTACATCTATCAAGATTTTTTAACAAGCCTTACAAAAATAATTATTTTAAAACCTGCCTTTTGTCTTGTGCAAATCATTGAATGTTTGAGAATATCAACGATTTGTTCAGACAGCTTAGACTTCATAGCTTTCTCACAGTCTTTACCTCTCACCTCCAAATCAACCTTTAATACAATATAAACATCGCAATTATTTGCACTGTTAGTCAATATTACAAATAAATTGCGAAGTTGTATGTGCGCTTTGACATTTTTGCTAAATTTTTTTACAGTTTTCGGCGAATATATCAATACAATGAACACTACTTTTTTATTTCAGTTTTGATTGTTAAACAGATTTTTTCGAATAACAAGTTTGCAAGTAATCAAACAGAAGCTTTTTAAATAGAACAGCTTCTTTTTTTCGTTTTTATATGTATATATGCTGTTGAAAGCTTTATGTTAAAATTGAAATCGAAAGTCGTTTTCATTGTATTAATATACATGCTACGCCAACTGTATCTAACTTTTACTATATGTACTTTTTTACTTTTTATTTTTACTATATGTAAATGTTTCATTTACAATTTTTGCCATTATAACTTTTTTATATTTATTTTTGTTAAAATAATTTTTTTTCAATGCCTATTTTTAACATGTAATTTTTATAAATCTAATTTTTGCTACATGCATTTTTTTCCTTTTTCTAAATATTGATATAGTAAATTTTCCTTTATCTAAATATTGATAAATGTAAATTTTTCTATATCTAATTTGTGCTAGCTAAATGTAAAATTTTTGCTGTATGTCATTTTTACTAAATAAAATTTTTGACATAAAAGCTTTTTTATTGCAAACATTGGCTCCATTGGTTCCTCAGTCTAAAACAGTTGTCTTACCAATGCATGTCGCTTTTTAGTTACTGGTATTCCACGAGATAGGAAGTCTATTACAACAGATAAGCTGAAATGAGCTGCAATCTCTGGATCTGACAGTTTAGCGAGAATCCTCTGAGCCTGGGATCGAATTTAATGAATTTGAGCTTAATTGCTGAACTGTCTATTGTTGATTTAATTGTAGTTCTGCAGTGTAGTTATCACCTAAAGGACAAAATCACCGATCCAATGTCCTTTAGATGTAAAAAAATACACTGCAGAACTACAGATAAGTATAGGAATCGATAGTAGGTAGTTCAGCAACCTAGTTCAAATTTATTAAAATCGATCCCTGCTCTGCATCTGATTTGAGCTTGAGAAAATTGTGTTTCCAGGTCTTCATAAACTTTTTGACAACTGACTTGGACTTTCCAGATTTTCTAAATGCTTTTTCAACATCCTTCATCCACGTTTCATCCCAAACTTTGAGCACAAACTCCTTTAGGCAAAAGTATTCTTTTTTATTATTGAGAGTTAATTTAAAATTTTTCTTCTTTTCTCAAAAGAAAAACATGAAAATGAGAATCAGTTTTGCCTTTGTAAGTAGTTTGTCTATGCTTGGAATTATTTTTCCCGCCAGATTATATATTCTTCTACCATCAGAAGAATCTAATTTATTTTTTCTTCCACTGAAATATGAAGCATGCAGAATAGAATATATATTAGAGGGGAATTTACTCGAAAAAAGTGTAAAACGGCCATTTTGTTGTACTGTTTCCATACTGCAGGTGTCTGGTGTACTTCACATATTTGCGCTATGTAACCTTTTGGGCTCTGGAACATCATTTTAAAGAAAATCTAAAATTAATATTAAAAGAAAATAAAATTCTAAAATAGGCTGGTTTTGTAATTGAATAATGATCATTTCACATAGACTCTATGCCTTTCACTTTACAAAAGATGATTTTCCGTTATAACTATAAATCAATTGATGTTTTTTATTAACCTAATTCATTTTATAAAGTTTATTTAACAGCTTTAAAAAATTCGAAATTGAAATGGATAGTCTAGGGAACATACTGTATTAATGTACTCTACTGCATATAATTTGTGAACATTTACATGATTTGTACACTTTGAACTCCCTTTCAGGCTGAAAGAGACTTAAAAAATTCATACCGAGAGATTCTCTAAATTCCCCTCTAATATATATTCTATTCTCTATGAATATGAAGCATGCAAAATATGTTATGTTCCGATACTAAATTAACCATAGCTGAACACATACCGACATTTTAACAGATCGGGAATAGTGAGCTCTTCATTTTTAACTTTTCAATTAAATATTTAGTTTAATTAACGGTGTATTTCCGTTTATTAATCAAGTTATCTTTCATTGACGATTTAGATTTTTAACAGATGATCATCCTAAACTACTGCCTTCACTGTTCATTAACAAGTGTTATCAAGACATTCTAAAACTCCTATTTACAAAATTTTTTTTCAGGTTGTTTATGAAAATTGGAATTTTCTAAAATGTTTATCTGTTAATCGAATAATGCCCATTGCCCACTCTTACAAACACCACCTTTGGATTTGTACTTTTTCCCCATCATCTCTTAAATTCTGCATTCGTCTGAGTTCTGGCAGAAAGAATCCGGTTTGCCCCCATCCTGCCACCATTCCCTCCTCACTCTTGTTTACCAGGACACCACTCTTAATAGGCATTTTGTTAGGTATACAAATGTTTTATTTTTATTGACAATACATAAATATCTAATTTGGTTCAAATTAGTTCAAATAGAATGGGTTCACACCCTTCTCCAACAGTAGATGTCAAAGTCAGCCACAGTCAACGAGACTGGGATAACACCCTTTGCTAATAGTATATGTCAAAGTCTACTACAGTCAACGAGACTGGGATAACACCCTTTGCTAATAGTATATGTCAAAGTCTACTACAGTCAACAGGACTGGGTTCACACATTTTGCTAATTGTGGATGTCAAAGTCTACTACAGTCAACAAGACTGGTTTCACATCCTTTGCTAATGGTGGATGTCAAAGTCTACTACAGTCAACAGGACTGGGTTCACACCCTTTGCTAATTGTGGATGTCAAAGTCTACTACTGTCAACAGGACTGGGTTCACATCCTTTGCTAATGGTGGATGTCAAAGTCTACTACAGTCAACAGGACTGGGTTCACACCCTTTGCTAATTGTGGATGTCAAAGTCTACTACCGTCAACAGGACTGGGTTCACATCCTTTGCTAATGGTGGATGTCAAAGTATACTACAGTCAACAAGACTGGTTTCACACCCTTTGCTAATAGTAGATGTCAAAGTCTGCTACAGTCAACAAAAATTGGTTTACACCTTTTACAAAGACTACTACAGTCCACGAGAATGGGTTTACTTTACATTCTTTGGTAATAATAAATGTCAAAGTCTATTACAGTCAATGAGAATGGGTTCATGAAAGCATTCTAAAAATGCTTTGATTAATTGAAAGTTAACTATTTATATGTTTATGCACAAATAATGTATATTTAGTTTTGCTTGCAATGTGAATCGTTTTTTTTCAACAAATACTGATCACAATTAACATTATTTTTTCAATAGATTAGAACAAAACCCTAAAAGAGCTGGGAACATTCTAATGGGAGAAATACTTTGAAATAATCCCAACTATGGTTCCTCTGGCTCCCCCCCCCCTTCAAAAATGTCAACCCTGAATCTAGTTTACCTGGTGTGAAATGCAAATTGGATAGAAATAATCTGTAAACCTAATGGGCTTCTTGGTGATCACTAGAGCAGCGCCGATAATCTTATCTATTTCAGAATATGAAAGTTAGAAAAAAAACAAGGAATTGGAGAACAGATTTGGCTTGTGAATAAGAAATTGAAAGTGTCCAAAACAATCTTTGTAAGGTAACAAATCATGTAAATTGAACAAGTAATTTAGTTTGCCAAAACTTCAGCAGTGAGCCCCATGTCAAGTACTATTTGAAAATCCTGCATTGATGACTTTTTATAGTCACAAATATCTTATCAGGCTTGGCGGAAAGAAGATTTTGAACGCTCTTTTACAGTTCTTTAAAAGAGTGTGAAGACCTTTTAGATTTTTGACTTTCTCTAGATATAAAAAGACAAATATGTGTTTTTAATTATGAATAGAATCTTTGCTTTGAGAAAAGTCCTGTTTGATCTGTTTCAAAATTCTTCCTTTCATTTCTATCTTCAGTTGGAGCTTGTCGTTTGAAGAAAAAATGATGCGCTCTATTTTATAAACTTTGTCTGTATCAGGATTTTCAGTGTAGGTATCAGTACCAACAACTACATCAAAGTTCTCAAGAGCTGGAAGAGGAAGTCTGAAAAAGAACCATACTTCAAGTTTAAACTTCATCTGACTAAATGTACACATTTTTTTGTTTGGCGTACCGAATAAGTTGTTCTGTAATGTCTAAGCTTGTTGCTTAATGGTATTTATTCAGATCCTTATGTTAATAGTATACTTACCCATCATCTCCAATTTTGTAGAAGATAAGTTCAGAGGTTAATAGAACTCTATCAGATAAGATAGTTGCCACGCCCACCATACCAGAACTTCGTCGCAATTTTTTCTTCCGGTCTGAGCAATAATTAATTAAGAAATTTTACAAACGAAATATTTCAAAATTTCGCTCAATATTGAAAAAAAAGTTGTTGCACTTCCCTGGTGAAGGTAATGTTTAAAAGAAACAAAATGAAGTAACTGAAACTTTTTATATATAAAGTTAACTAAAAATTCAAGGCGCTTCGCGCCCTTCTTTCTAGGCTTTTAAAGCGCTTCGCGCCCATCTTCTAAATTAATTGTGAACATGTTCTCTTTGTGTACATCGTAAAACAAAACAAAAATAATTCGCGGATTTCACAAAAGATTTCGTGGATTTTCAAAATTTTCAAAAATTTAATGAAGATCGAATTTTAATGGAGACAAATATTTAAAATTTCAATCATTCATAAACCTTCCCTGGGGTCCCTAGATGTCCCACAAAAAATTTGGGCCCGATCGGTTCAGCCGTTTTGACGTTTATTGGATACAAACAGACAGACAGACAGACAGACAAACAGACAGACAAGCCAAATTTATATATAGATTACACTGAATGTATGCAAGAAAAGGATACTCATTTTCCCCTGCAGCTTCTCCTCCTAGAATATATGCAACTTTCTTTTCAACTTTATAATTTGGAAAGGTTAGAAAGGCAAACCAAGTATTGTTATTGACCACCCTATATACAGGGTGTCCCAATAAACCTGGGAACTCAGTGACGAATTTGATATCGTCTTTTTAAATAATTCTTTGATTTAGTATAGTCATACCTACTGAGAAAGCTGTAAGAGTAAGAGTTTCGTCTGCTATGTTCACGTTTTGTGTGTTTATGTTTTGACTGCATACGGTTGTACTGTACATATGGTAAAACAAGAAATTTGAAGAATACAAACCAAGTAAACTTGTCCGTCTTCACTGTTTATCTTGCGGCGACATTATAGACACAATTTTACAGTTTTTTACCCTTTTCATAAAATAAATTCTAGCAGACATAATAATATTATGGGTTTTGAAATTAGGTATTACAATGCTAATTCATAACAAAGATGATATCAAATTCGTCACTGAATTCCCATGTTTTTTGGGACACCCTGGATCAAGAAACAATTTGTTATACTTCTCCATTCATCATTTTTGGTGGGAATTGATATTTATAAATTTCAGATTAATGATAAAAGGTAGTTTTCGAAACATTTCTTACAAGTTAACATTATGCCAAATATAATTTGTGTTATTTCTGTCTACCTGAAATTCTATTTCCAGTAGGTTTCGGACCTCCACATCGAATGATTTTATCAGACCCTAAAAATATTTGAATATTTGGTTAAATCATAAGGTTTATTATATTTAATTATAAATTTGGATAATTACTATTGCAGGTCTCTGGAGGTTCAGGACAATCTTCGCCTTCGCATGACGTATTGGGTTCTGTGGTAGGTCCAACTGGAGGTTCAGGACAGTCTTCGCCTTCACATGACGTATTGGGTTCTGTGGTAGATCTTGGATGTTCTGTTGTGGAAGGGTCCACTGGTTCACATGAATCATCACAATCTTCTCCTTCGCATTCAGGGTCAGGTGGTATCAATTCACAATCATCATCTCCATCACACGGTTCTTCAGTGGTTGGTGGCCGACCAGAAGGTTCATCAGTGGTTGGTGGCCAACCAGTAGGTTCTTCAGTGGTTGGTGGCCAACCAGTAGGTTCTTCAGTGGTTGGTGGCCAACCAGTAGGTTCTTCTGTGGTTGATGGCTCGGGAGGAGGTCTTTCTGTACAATCATCAGTAACACACAGTTTAGGAGGACCCTCCTCCGAACTTGGACCTCCTCCTCCTCCTCCCCCTCCCCCTCCCCAGCCACAGCAGCTAATAGTTATTTCATCCACTCCCGCTCTATTGCTGAAGCCAGTGCATGTTACATGTTGACAAATATTACCTTAAATAAAAAGCTTCATTCAAAATTTAAAAAAAACGAGGAAAGCCAGCTCCTTAATTGTTGATTACGAAGCATTTAAGGGTACTGTTGTTAATCAGAAATGTTAACGTTTTCATTTTTTTAAATTTATCGGTCGTTTTCAAAATGGTCGTTTTCCACACAGTCGTTTTCAAAACGCTCGTTTTTAAAAACAATCGTTTTATGTAATGATCGTTTTTATAAAGCTTGTCGTTTTGTTAACGATCGTCAGCAACGCCTTTTTTATCGATCGTTAACGACGACCCTTCATTAACAATCGTTAACGATGACCCTTCATTAACGATCGTTAACGTTGACCCTTCGTAAACAAAGAGAGGAGGAGAGAAAAAACCGTCCTGAAGGGCATCGGTACTTATCATTGAGCAGTTTTAAAGAATATATCAAGAAGTTTTAGCTCCCCCACAACTTTTTACCTTCATGTAAGACGACATTCGATAAAGTTGCATGTAATTTTTTTCAAAACGATAATTTTTATAAAGTTTGTCGTTTCGTTAACGCTTGTTAATGACAACCCTTCGTTAATGATCGGTAACAACAACCCTTCATTAACGATTGTCAACATATTTATCAAGGAAAATTTTTTTAAACACTCGTTTTTTCAAAAACAATCGTATAAAAAAAGATCGTTCATCGTTTTAAAAAAAACGATCGTTTTCATAAATGAATGATATTTGTTTTCTAAAAGTTCAAAACGAGTAGGTTGTTTTTAAAATCGATAGTTTTTTTCGAAAACGAAACGACCGTTTTTGAAAACGATCGAAAAATGAACTTTTTTATACACTTGTAATTTTCAATCATAATTTTAATTGGCCCCTCTTTATGAATTTTGAAAAATAACATAAACATATGCTTTAAACCAATAGAAATTTCATTTTGTTCTTCCCAATGCATTTTTTATGTACAGAATTAACTAATTCCACTGTAAATGAGTCCAAACTTGTAGACAAAAAAAAGAAAACAAAAGATGAATGTTTAGCGAATTTAGCCCCATCGTGTTTTAATAGTGTGGCGTTAAATAGAAGCGTTTTTAAAGATTAACGTGCTATAGGGAAACGTTTTGTGATGATAGTGTTTTATTGGGGTAGCGTATTTATAATATGACCCATCATATGAGTACTTGGATATTACAGATATTCACATATACCTGAATTTCTCAAACACGAGAATCATAGATTAATAACGATACAGATAGAAAACTAAATGTTGCGTCGCGCTTGCTGAGTTGAATGACAAGACAGAGAGAGAGAGCATTCGCGTAACTCCTTTGTGAACCAAAAACCCCTAAATCTTGAAAAGACGGAATCTAGTAATATTCTATTTGTATTTTTATGAGAATCATAATTATAAAGTTTGTACTTACTAATTCTATCATCTGGTGTTCTTTTTACTCTGTTTGAGCTCTTAAACATATATGATTCAGATATCAATTTATTTCCAGTCTTCGTCGTATATATCAATACATTGATGACGACTTTCTATTTCTTTTTTGACTGTCTACCGATCTTTTAAACAGCAGAGCCACATAAACAATTAAATATACAAAAATGTTTGCTAGAGATCAAAGCATAATTAATAAAAAGTCGTCTTCATTGTATTAATATGATCGCCCAAAACTGTATATATTAAGATTCAAAATGGTGGAGAAATGCGTTTTTGTTGTTTTAAATAAATATTTAATTGAAAAAATGTTTGAAAGGATTCCTGAGAAGATGAAGAAAATTCAAGTCCAAATATTCCTTAAATCTATATGTTAAACTTTTCATTCCTTTTAAAAACTTTTCTGAAAAAACCAGCAATTTTAACGGCAGCGGCAGTGATATCACTCTAAAGTATGAATTAAATTAATCGCTCATTTAGCAAAAGTTGGATGGCTGCTTTAAGCGACAGAAAATATTTCAAATTCAACAAAAATCGTTTATTTGGCAGCAAATATGAAAAGAATGGTCAAAAAGCTATTTTTTGAGTAATGTAAGATATTCTTTTTTGAATACATACGATTTTAGCAGCTTATTTGGCAGCCATCCAACTTTTATGGTCAAAAACGCGACTTTTCTTATTTCGTAATTTCAAGTGCACAAAAAGAAACATGGTCAAGATCAAGGGTATAATGCAAGGAAAATTAGTTTCAGTTGCGTACATATTGACACCAGTTCTCTCTGGGCGGAATTTGTAAACAAGAATAGATGCATCGGTGTTTGTTTAGCATCGGTGGAGGATAAAAGCATTTTATTTTGATAATTTTGATAAGTCACATAATAATTTCCTTTGACCAGAATATTTCATTGATTTTTTATGTGAAAGATGGATCCATGTCAGGCTTTGACATCCGTCTTGTGTTTACATTACCGCCCAGAGACAGTTCACTGTAGTACAAAAGATGCGTACACCTTTGAAATAACTTTCCTTGCATTATAACCTTGGTCAAGATTTGGGGTTGTATATTAAAAACCAAATTTTAACCCTTATTTTTGACACTTTTACTTTGAAACTTCTTGACTTTACTTTAAGGTCCGTTTATAGAAAAAAGTGGGTGTGGGGGGGCTGCCATTGAAGGGAAGAAATTTTTTCACTTTTCTAAAAAATCGATGTGAAAAACCCGAAAACACAATGATAGTTTGTTAAAATTTAAAAAAAAACAGTAAAATTTGTTCAGCAAAACTAACATATCGTCGTTTCTGATTTTTTTAAGATAGATTTAAAAATCATAAATGAAAGAAAAACTATATTTTTTTTCGATTTCTTTCAGAAACTATTAACAAAGACTCGGACCTACAAAGCCGTTTTTAAGGTTCAAAACCATTTAATTTTTGAACAATTATAAACCTCTGAGAATTGAGTGGATTCTACTTATTTTATGTTAAAAATTATACATTAAACTATGAGATTTTCCTGATATGTGTACACTCAATCTAAAACAGTAAAAAAGGTCAATGTCTAAAAATTCACAGAAATTTGTGATTTTATTTTATTAGATTTTCATATCTTCAGTACAGCAATTTATATAAGCGTTGAGAAAACTATTTCTAGCAGAACATACAGGGGTACCCACACAAGATGAGACTTCAGAGACGACTGTACGGAATTTATACTGTCTGTTTCCTCATATTTATAATTCCTTGAAACTAAACTTGCTTCTTTTTTCCCAATCATTAAGAAAGCCATTAAAAGGACAATATTTATAACAGATGAATTTATTTAACCTTGGAATTGTCATATTTAGTTTTTGGTCGTCTTTACAGTCTCATCCTTTGTGGGTAACTGTAACTTTATATGGATGCAGATGCACTAATGAAATTTAGTTAAATTAGCAGAAAATTAGTAAAATTTAGAACATTTAATCAGCATCAAATCAATATATCTTTATAATATAAATTAATACCCCTTCCCCGGCAATGTAAGGTAGCTGAACTGAGAATATAGTATTGTGGGAAATTATTTAAGATTCATTCGAGACATATAAAAAGTTTTAATGATGTATAATTAATGAGTTTGAGTGCAAAGTTGACGTTCAAAATCATCCATTTGAAAGGTTTTTTTAATTATTCATTGGCGACTACGAAAAAAGGAACAAAAATTCGAGAGTAAACTAATTAGATGTTTAGGAACATATTTCTCAATAGAAATTGTCAGTAAATCAATGATTAATTATTTATTTTTCATCATTACATTAAATTTCTTATTCTTCACAAATTTGTTCGTGTTTTCTTCAAATTCTCCAAATGTCGTCTTTTCAATAAAACTTCCAGGAAATCTACAGAAAACGTTTGCGTGCAATAAGACATTATTAAAAAAAACAAATAACTAAAAAAGATTACTTATTTTCGATGGTTTAAGAGTAAATTTTTATTTTCTTAACCTGTTTCCTGGTTTACTGAAGAATCTTTGTTTCATTTTTTTGTCGTCGTTATTAAATAATTTTTAAAAAATCGATTCTCAAAACATAACCACTTAAATGGAAGATTTTGAACGTCGCTTTGTGCTCAAACTCAGTAACTATACATCACTAAAAGTGTCATATGTCTCATTAAAACATTTTATTTGTTTCAACTGAATCCTAATAAATTTCTTCACAAAACTGCATTCTCAGTTCAACTACCTTACATTGCCGGTCACTGCCTTCGCCTATGTTACACCCATGGGTTCACAAAAAAAAATTTAAGCCAATTTGGTTTAACCGTTTTGCTTTATATATAGATTAGATTTTAACTTACAGTGTAACAGAAAATATTGTTTGAATCAATATTCTTCTCATTGTAGATCCATCAAGCAGTGCTAACTAAACAGTTCTACTTGGACAAACTTAACAGGGCTAAAACATTTCTCTCTGCTTTCAAAAGCGGGAAAAAATGTTTAAATTTTTTTATCAAATTTTTTTTCAAACGTAAATTTTACCATAAAAAATGTCAATGTATTTATAAATATCACTGAAATGAAAATACTATTTATAAACAATGCAACTATTATAAACAAAAGTTCTGTTAAATCAAAGAAAATGCATTTTTCTAAAATTTTAACATAATCTTAGAATTAAACCAAAACATTAGGGCACTCGCAATCAATGTAGCATAAAAAGATATCAAAAGGTTAAAGAAAAAATTACAAAGTTCAAATTTTTTTGACAAATACAACTTTTTTTTCAAATATAAACAGTGAATTTCAAAATTATTAATAATAATAATAATTTGATTCAATAATAAATCATGAATTACTATTGACTGATCAAATACCCCGGGGCCAGGGGGATATTTGTATGAGCAAAAATTATGCAAAACATTTAATAAGATGATATAAACCCACGAAGGCTGAGTCTTGAATGACAACTATTACGACTTTACTCAGTTATTTTGCAGTAAATTCATGGTAAAAATTTCACCTGTAAACTTTTGTTTTTCTTTCCCAAATCATTTAATGAATTATTCTAACTATATTTTAAAAGTTTTAGGTTGTTACTAAAGTATTCTTCTATGTGGGTAGGGTTGTTTATCGTTTTTGAAAACGATCGTTAAACGATCGTTTTTTGCTTCGTTTTTCAATCGTTTCTAAAACGATCGTTTTGAAAGTTTTTAAAAATATGTGGGTAAACCTTGTAATTAAGAAAAACCGAAAATGTACAAATTCACTTTGAATGCGTCTGTGCAAAAAATATATAAAAAATATTATTGCAAAAATTTGCAAATTTGCTTAATTCCTTTTTTTTAAATCACATGATAGTTTTATGTACACTGTATTCCTTATCTTATGAGCATATCCTACTGAACAATATATTCCTTCTCTTCTGTACATTACCCACTATTGCACTATAATCCTTCTCTTCTGTACGTATACTACTGTACACTGTACAGTGTATTTTCTCTCTTCTGTACATATCCTACTAGTGTACAGTATATTACTTCTCTTCTGGACATATCCTACTGTACAGTATATTACTTCTCTTCTGTACATATCCTACTGTACAATATATTACTTCTCTTTTGTACATATCCTACAGTACAATATATTACTTCTCTTCTGTACATATCCTACAGTACAATATATTACTTCTCTTCTGTGCATATCCTACTGAACAATATATTACTTCTCTTCTGTGCATATCCTACAGTACAATATATTACTTCTCTTCTGTACATATCCTACTGTACAGTGTATTTTCTTTCTTCTGTACATATCCTACTAGTGGACAGTATATTACTTCTCTTCTGTACATATCCTACTGTACAATATTTTACTTCTCTTCTGTACATATTCTACTGTACAGTATATTACTTCTCTTCTGTACATATCCTATATGTACAATATATTACTTCTCTTCTGTGCATATCCTACTGTACAGTATATTACTTCTCTTCTGTACATATCCTACTGTACAATATATTACTTCTCTTCTGTACATATCCTAATGTACAATATATTACTTCTCTTCTGTACATATCCTAATGTACAATATATTACTTCTCTTCTGTACATATCCTACTGTACAGTATATTACTCCTCTTCTGTGCATATCCTAATGTACAATATATTACTCTTCTTGTGCGCATATCCTAATGTACAATATATTACTTTTCTTATGTACATATTCTACTGTACAGTATATTACCCCTCTTATGTGCATATCCCCTTATAATAATCAAATCTGGTCTTAGCTAGTACTGGGCATTAACTTTTTTTTAGATTTCATGTAATAAATATTTTAAAAGCGCCACAAAGTGAAGGTTTTAGAACTGTATTTTGTAAATTATGCTAAAGTGTGTTTCCTAAGAGAAACTATAAAGGAAAAGGAACCAAAGAAACGATGGTTTTCAAGAACCTGAAAAGTTTTGAAAAACTATATGCTGGTTTAGCCTTTGCTGTAATAATTTATGATATCCTTTATGTAAAGGTTCAATTTTAAAATAGTATTTTAAAATCAATTTAAAATAGTATTTTAGCAAAATTCTGTGTTAGGTTTTTAGAATATGAATATTTTACTTGGAGTTTGCCTCCCCATCTAAATGTGCAATATTTATACGCTTTAGTGGTATCATGTATCATTATTGGAANTACCCCTACTCTCGTATATATCAATCCTTCCTCTATTTAATGTTAGTAGAGTATACAAGTCCGAAGGGAAAAGGTTAAAACAATTGTTGCATGAGGTTGGTTGGTAATATTAAACTGAATAAATAGAGCAAACAGGTTCTTATAGGAACAGTATCAAAATATTACCCGACTCTATTAAAGCTATCCCGATTGGGCTATTTTTTTTTAAAATAGATTCCCCCCTCTCTGATTTTACCCTTAGAGTGGATATAGGGGAGTGTGATACATGTGACTAGTCCAACTTTTCAAGGCCTGCTTATCAAAAAAAATAAACCTCTATCTTTAATGGTTTGGATGCAAGGGAGGTTTTTAAAAAAAGTTCAAAAAGTATGTCGGAAAAACAATTAAACGATTCAGGAAGCCGTTCATTGAAGTATTTGTACATAAAAATTGAACCTTTCAATTGAAGAATATCATGCAATTTTAAAACATTTAGTTTTCCAAAAAGTGGAATTGTATAGCGCTTTGAAGCTTGAATTTGAAACTGCTCATATAGCCTTTTTTGAATATTTTGAATATTCTTGATTTTTTAATTCTTAGAAGTCTAATTTTTAAGGGCTTTTTAAATATATAAGTTTTAGCCCTGCATTAATTGATAAAAAAGTTAAAAAACCATTTCTTTTGACTGTCCTCCGCCGTACCCTATGCATAAAAAAATGTTATCAAAATTTGTTCACAACTATAAAGTTGAAAAAGTTTTTTGGAAAAAACACATGGGGGATGAAAAACACCCCCCCCCCCTCTCCTCCAATCGAGATACACATAAAACGTAAAACTAAAGGGATTGTTCATCTCTTTCAAAATACACCAATTACACCAAGGATCCCAACATACCGCTGATAGATATATACCTGTGGAATTCCATGTTAAACATTCTCTGTCATCTTGTCAGGCTGTATTTGTTGCATAAAACGTACTGGGTTGATTCTAGACTGGACAGTACGACTGTATGCACATACAGTGCAAGTTGTACCGGATCATGCACTTTTAGAGTGGGGTTAATTGCGCAATTTGAGCGAACATGATAAAATTGTTTCTTTTAAATTCCTAATTAAAAGTAACAAAAATTATCCACAAGATAAAAATTAGATTTCAGTTTTTAGAGTACCACTCACAACGTTACTTTTTGTAACGATTGAGGAATATTTTTAAAATCTGTTAAAAAAAATAACAAATAAAGAATTGTAACACCATAGTTATAAAAGAAAAAAAATATTTTACAAAATAAAATATTCAAAATTAAAATCTTCTTAAAATTTTAAAAATATCTTAATCAAAATGTATCTACCGATTGTTTATAGTTTACATAAAAAATAAGTTCCTCTTAGCGCTTTCTTTACATAATATGGGGATTTAGAGGGAATTCTAGAAACAGTTAATCAGCGTTCTTTTCACATGATAGATCGTTTTTTTTTAGTTTTTTATTGAGCAATAAAATAATAGTTTTTGAACAGAGCAAAATAGAATTGACAAATCTTTAAATATATTTTTTATTGAACAATGACATAATAGTTTTTGAACAGAACAAAATAGAATTGACAAATCTTTAAATATATTTTTTATTG